CCTCAAAAACCATGTTCACTACCACGATGAACATTATGGAAATCCTCCTTCACAGCAATCTGACACATATGTTGTCCTATCTCAAAGACAATCTCTATACACAATAGCACCACCATCGCCCAAATCATCCAAGTGAGGATCCAAGTACCAATTGAACTACTCGTGATGAGGAATTTTATCCTCACCACCACGACACATATCACAGCTGGTAATATGGTTATCATAGTAGTCACTTTGTTAAACCCACCTCTAAGATTAATTTAAGTTGTCCATCATTTAATGGTTGTCAAGGCCCAAATGCTTTCATCGACAGGCTTGTTCAAATCGAAAAAACTAGCAATTGGTATTAAATGAATGAAGCAAATGGATCTGATTTCTCTCTATGAACTCGCAGGTTGTACCAAATGACTTTAGCAAAGCTTGGGATATAAATTGACAGCTCAACACACCACCTATCAATACATGGGTTGACATGTGCCAGTATCTCCGTTAAAAATATATTCCTTGATATCATAGACAATTTTTTGCCAAATTGCATAAGCTTCAATAAGGTTCTCTTTGTATCACCAATTATCTAGATATGTTTGAAGACATTGTCACTGATTGCCTTCTAATCATGACTAAATTCATTTAGGGCCTTCATCCTAACATTCATATGGCTTTTGATCCATACATACCCACCACCTTCAATGATGACTATCATCACACTTTGGAATTTGAGAAATATTAAACGCATACTCAAATGCTATGCAAATCTATCTTATACAACATATTATGATATGCCACATCTAGTGCCTCCCTTCCTACAGATCCAATAACCAATACTCACCCAGAAAAATCAATCATTGCTAATTCAATCACCATATAAGAAAACGCCTTAGCACCTTAAGCACATAGTCACAACAGAAACAAGCAAGATCCCCTACTCGCTTCATCTGTCATAAACCAAGACACATCTCGCTAAATTTCTCACCATGCGCTCACCCTCAAAAATATCAAACCTAAACTTCAACACACTAAAACTCCTAATGAGGATTTCAAGGACAATAATCTACGTTCGAGTAATATGGATTTATATTGCTTAAAGAAATATGAGCAGATGATGGGCAAGTGTTGCGTTCATACCATCCCATCAAATGGGAAAGACTGCAACCTACCTCTAAGGTACACCCCTTAGTTGTTCCTATTGCCAAATTACTAGCAGACTTCCCTGACCTAACCCAAGTAAAGCTACTTGATGGGCTCCATCCCATGCAAGACATCAAGAACATTAATGACTTAGTCTCAAGTGCACCATTATCACCACACTATAAGATAAATATCACGGAAGATGTTGAACTTTTAAAAAAAAAAGCAAATGGTCTCTTTAAGCCTCACCATTGTGCCATCCTTATCCTTCTAACCAATAAGAAGGATGATACTTGATATAATTATGTTGATGATGGGGCCATCAATAAGATTAGAGCTGAATATTATTTGCCTAAATTGCATTTAGATGATATGCTTAACTTACTCACCAGGTCAATATTCTTTAGCAAAATCAACCTGTGAATTGATAACATCAAACAAAAATCAATAGCATAAATGAGTCCTCAGATGTCTTTTTACAAGTGATTGGTAATGCCATTTAAACTTTCTAATGCATCGAGTACCTTCATGTGAGTCATGAATAAAGTCTGGCAACCATTTCATCAGCAAATTTCTTATGGTTTTCTTAGATGATACCTTGATTTGTAAAACCGCTACTACAACAATTTGACCTATATTCGACTAACTTTGGACATCCTATATACCCAAAAACTATAAATCAATTTAAATTAATGCACTTTTTTGCAACCTAAGGTTTTCTGGATTGGTTTCACTATTTTAAGTAATGATGTTGCTACTTAACCTCTTCAACAGCCAAGCTATAATGGATTGGCCTTGTGTTTATGTTTCATAATTTTCACGTCCAAGCTATTTTGAAGTGTAGATTAACCAAGGATTTAGTATGTCAATGGCTCCACTACCGAAAGTCATTATGAGAGATACATTCCAATGGTCATCTTTGACTAACTCTGACTTTAAACAATTCAAACTTAAATGATTTAGACTCATGTCCTTCGCCTCAGTCACTTTTCCAAAGTTTTTGAGATAGCTTGCAATGCCTCTAGACTCTAGAGTTAAAATCGAAGACGCCCTCAGCTGAGAAGGCCATTTCGTGACCTACTATAGTAAAAAAATAACTTAATAAGACTAAGCAATGCTATCATATCAAGGGTAAGGAGTTTCATGCAAGCGTTCAATTCTTAATGCTTATGAGATGAGCCTCTATTTATGGGAGAAAAGGGGTTCACAACTCTCGATAATTCTATGTTGGAGTAGCCCAAGCATTCTCAATGGGGTGTTCAATAACTTCTATGTTGGAGCAAGCCCCTTATCGACGATTATGAAGGCAAACAAGTGATGATTATATGACTTATAAATATTCCAAAAAACCTAAACAGACATATGATACTTCTAAGAATATGAAAAATGTGAATGAAAATAAAAACCAAAAAAAAGTAAAATTAGCATTTGACTAGTTTAGCGCATTAAATTATTAGACACTTGATAATTATATTATATTTCATTACTAACAGGAATTAATGCATATTGCTTATAATTGTTTCATATACTTGTTCAATTATCAAATCATGTTTTAATTTTCTGTTTATTACATAGAGCTAGATATATTTATGATTATTAATACTCATGTCAGTTCAAAAGATCAGCAATAGCATATTGTGTTATGTTTCTCATATTTTGAACTATGTAGTAGATATGTTTATCCCATTACACTTTATAGCTCGCCAGATACTATTATAGCTATTATTTCTGGTAAATATAGCAAGTTGGGTCTAATAAGTTGATCGGGTTTTATCCTCCAATAGTATTTTGTAATACATTTTTCTATGTAAGAGGAATGTTTAAGATGCAGATTAAAAATATCTAGTATGTGTTAATTATCTATGATGTTAATTAAAGCTAAGCAATTTATTTTAATGAATCTAATATGTATGCCATAATATTAATGGTTGCAAAAGATGTATTTGATGATCATGAAAAAAGTTTTGTGATTCATAACAACTTAAGAAGATAAATTTTGTACTCGCTCAATCTTGCTTAGAAAGAGCCGGATGGATGTTGATGGGAAATGCATCAAACCAGGTTGCCTACCTCTCCTATGCCTCTTGCTTGACAGAGGCTTCCATATTTTGTCAGATTCTTTCATAATGACCTTGCCAATTATGAAATAATCCAAATGGATTCCTCTTAAATTCTTCTTATTACTTTGCTTGTGCTCTCCCTGTTCAAATCCTCATATAAATATAGAATATACGTCTGTCAAAAAGCATCTCATGACAATGAAAGTTACAAACAAGTGATTCTCTCTCTCTCTCTCTTTCATCTCTCTCTCTCTAGCTTGAATCCCCAACACATTTTTCTTGAATCCCCAACACATTTTTCTTGAATCCCCAACACATTTTTCATGCCCTAGTTCACATCAATGTTCAGGCGGGTTTGCTAATGGATAGGCAGCTTCAAGATTTTTTTTTTTTTTTGCCTGGCCCAGATAGCAAAGGTAGGGTACAAATTTAACCGCCAACTCATGTGACTGCACTTTTCTGTTGAGCTTTCATAGGGCATAATAGGGGAGAACATAAATTACTTGGATATTTAAAGTAATGACCGTAATAACTTGACACCAATGAGCTTCAAATCAAAGTTCACATGCATATAAACCTGAAAGGATCCAAAGAAAAAAAATCCATCAAAATAAATCTCCGGAAACAAATAATCACTATAACTTTCAAATGGACGGAAAAAAATAAAAATACAAACTTCACAATTCTTTTAACCAAAAAAAAATCCTCCTTAAATGGAGTTCGCATATTTCAGCTCTAACTACAAAATGGTGCAATATTACAGACCAAATAACTCTTTCTAGGTTATTAAAAAGGCCAATGTTGACAGCTTAGATGCAACTTCAAGCACAACTAACAGCCAAAACAAAAAGAATACCAAACCATACATGAGCCGCTCGCCACTATTGTAGAATCTAAATGATCATGAATATGCATGATCAACATGCAAAGCCACATGCACAAAAAAGTGAGATTCTACAAAAATTTCATATTCAAGCGCTTACCAAGATTTTAGAATTCATGCAATGCAACTAAATGTTCAATCATGGGAAATCTTGCAGCCAAACAAGATTAACTAATGAGCCAGCTGCAGTATACATAAATAGTAGCCCAAGCTTAAAGTGAATGATCACTGTGACATAGGTTAGACCTTTTAAGGTCAATGGATTTACAATACTATTCGCAACCGCCATATCTGGACCAAGCCAACCCATTAATCCCCGATCTTGCTCAGATTTAGAAAACCCTGACACACTAGCATAAACTTCCACCTAAGTCACACCAGTAAGCACCCTGCCTACTACCACATTAACCAGTCTCGTACCCACTCTTCCTTGCATTCTTCCTGAAATTTGATGTACCAGTTATGACCATTGGTAACAACAGTTTAATATATTGCATTTATCAGATTTTGGCATACAACGCATTTGAGGTGCTCAAGCAAATGCAATGGTTGTGGCTAATGGGCTGTTGACAATGGGATCATATAAATGAAAATTGTTAAAGTGTTATGCAGGTAAACAATAACAGAAGATAATCATTGCAAACTGTTCACAGATAGTTAACAATATGATGTGCTCGGCTTGCACTAAACAGTACAATTGAGGCTAAACTTGGCAATTTAGGTCGTTAGTAATATTGTACTTTTGTAATTGATGCCAAGTTCCATCTTGGTAGCTCCTAACAAGACTACAATTATTTATCTGAGGCCATGCATTACCAAATTCAAAGTTTCTATGAAAGCTATGAAGTTGATATTCCTTTGAGACTTCATGAGAAAAAAATGGTTGCCCACAATCAGAAAATGAAATATCTGCATGACATCAACCATACCTGCATTTGCACAAGTAGTTCTGTTTTTATCCTTCGAGATGCTTCACTTTCACTGCCTTCTCCACGCTGGCCACACAGTGAATCAATTTCATCAATGAAGATGATGGAAGGAGCATTTTCACGAGACATTTGAAAAAGATTTGAAACTAGCTTTTCACTTTCACCCATCCATTTTGAAACCAAATCTGATGAAGATATACTGTAAAAAGTTTTGGCGTCAAGTACACTAAATATATGTTTCCTCAAACTACCAGTACAACGTTATCAACACCAAAGAATAGTCTTTTTTTTATTTTTATGAATTGCAGAAAAAAGATTATGGCTTGGCAATAAGAACAAAAAGGGTTTTGCATGAAACTAAACTTTCTGAAGTGCACTAAAATGTTTAAAATAAAATCTTAAACATGCACATACTTGTTGGACTCTTCCAATTAAAACATGTATAAGGTTTTGACCACAAGCCACGCAAGTGAGGTGGATAAATAGACATGATCAGTCATCAATCCTAATTGGTGCAAAAAAATTGAACTGTAGTTGGCTTCGCTCCAATTACTCAGATTTTTATTGCCTAATCTCTACATCAACAATGCTGAATAAACATTATTTTATAAAGCACTGACACTTTATAATATCAAAATATACAGTGTCCAACATATATAGGGCACTACACACATTCAACATGTGTTGAACCTTGGTGGTCAGCTCAATTAAAGTAATAATCATAAAGAATGTGTATCAAACACGTTTTTTGTGGGTTAACTAAAATAGCAATTATGAGAATGAATGAACTACGGAAGAGATAAAATTAAGAAAAAATTTCAATTTTTAATAAAAAATGAAACGTGTTTTAACAAAACGCACACGCACATGCGCAGCCATATGCATGCACCCACACGCATATGCGCAACAACACACGTGTGCGCAACCACACACACGTGCGCGTGCAACCACACACACGTGCGCGTGCAACCACACACATGTGCGCGCGCAACCATACACACGTGCGCGCGCAACCATACACACACGCACACACGCAACCATACACACACACGCATATATTGATATATGTCCTAAAGTTTTAATAATAAAGGCATTCAGGTACGTGTTAGTGCATCATAAGTATTCATCCTAGTCCTAGTTAAACTAAATTCAAAATAGGATAACAACAAAAAAACCCTAAATCTATTCTTTGACCTCTTTTACTCATAAATTTCTTTTGAAATAAAAAAGGCTTCTCTGCCAAAAAACTGAATTCCTTTTGTGCTTCATTTTTTTATCATGTATTTTATTGCATGGAGACAACTATAAATAAATAGATATACAGAATCAAAAAAGCAAAAAGTTCAAAATGCAGGGCATGTTCAAAAATAAGCCAGCATGCAAGGACATAAAGATGAGAAACAAACACGAAATAGTAGAACATATTCATAGAGTAAAACGGGGGCATGGTTTAAATTTGTTGGAAAATAAGTTCATGACTTGATCACATGCAGAAACAATACAGCGATGTTATAATTTGTGAAAGAAAGGATGAATAGAATTATAAGATCAAGCAAAGCTATTTGCATGCTGACTAAAATGGTTATCAGTAAAAATAAAGAAAGACATTAGGGAAAATGCAGGTATGGTTGATGTCATTAGGGCAAATCAAATATTCAATACAAATAGTACAACGCAATTAAGAAGGACAAAAACCTAAAGAAGGTTGATTCAGCCTCCGTAGCAACGGCTTTGGCCAAATATGACTTTCCTGTTCCAGGTGGACCATATAAAAGAAAAGCCCTCCATGGCCTCCTCTTGCCTGTAGAAAATGCTATGGCATCAAGCACAAAAATCAAAGATGAAAGCATAGCTCTTTTTTAAAAGTGCAACTATACAGGCCACAAAATATGCCGTAAAAGAGGTTAAAAGTAATGGAAGGATGATAAAGGGGAAAAAAACCCATAATTAGCTATAATACTGCTGATGTATTGAGTTAAATAAGTGGCAATATCATTTAAATATGATAAATCAAAAAGCTTCAAGTTCAGTCTAATACTGATGTATTCTCAATAGATCCACTTCGCTCTGGTATATTACAAATATTTACTCTAACCACTTAGTATTATAATGAGCTAACTGAATTTTCAGCCGGAAAAGCTAGGAAGTCTAGCCTTATTGCTCAAGTCTGATCAACAACCGTGCAGATTGACAGGCTCTCTAATAAAAAAATGGTCAGTTCGATGATCTCAAACACTAATAAAATCTTCAATGAAATACTGATTGTCAAATACTAAAACCAACATTTTTCTGCCAATTCATCACAAAATAACTTCAGAGTTGCGAATCCATATAAAACTGTAAAAATTAAAAAATATAACAGGACCATGAGAAGAAACAAAGATATTACAATTACATAAAATAGCAACTTGGCATAGATAGCGCAAATCCAAAGATGAATAAGAAGAAGAAGCAACAGAAGAGAACATACCAGTGAAGAACTGAGGAAACTTGACAGGCAATATGACAGCTTCCTGCAAGGCTTGCTTGGCGCTCTCAAGCCCAGCAACATCGTTCCACTTGATGTTCGGCTTCTCCCTTATGATCGCCGAGTTAAGTCCCGCTCTGAGTTTAGTCTGCTCCGGATCATCGCCACCATCATCTCCATCCTTCGGCTTCGTCTTCGCTTTCGTGGCAACCGCCGCATCCCCATTAGAAGCCGGCCCTGGCCCTCCCTCATCAAGCACGGCACGTATCTCCTCCGCGCGCCGAAGGTAGTCGGTGAACTTCTGGGTGATCGCTTCCTTAATCTTAGGGTTCTTCTCGTACTTGAGATGCGTCTTGAAGTACTCCAGCGCGTTCATGTAAAGGGGAAAGGCCCTGACGTAGTTCCCAGCATTGTCTTCCTGTACCGCCTGCTTCACGTACTCGATCGCTTGCTCCTTGAAATTGCTATACATCTCCAATTACTCTTATCTATCGGCGGCACCAATCTCAAAAACTTGATTCAATGTTGTGAAGCCGAAGGCCTGACCACGGATTCGATGAAAAATGGAATCCCGAGAATTTGATGTGATAAAAAAACCTAGATTGATGATGAAGGCAAAGAAATAGATTGATATGGAAAATTAATAGATGAGATCGATCAGTGGAGGTATCCAGAGCGATCGATTAGGAAAATTGATAGATGGGATCTATCCGCAGAAGGATCGGGGAGCTAGGGCTTGATGAAGTTGGGCGTGGTAGACGGGAAGGGTGCGGACAATGAAGAGGAAATAGAATTTTGGTTGAAATATTGTATTGACCAAAAACGTGATTTAATAGAGTTAAATTATTTATATTAATTCTGAAATTTATGTATCACTCATCATAAAATATCTCTAAAATTTTAAAGGCTAATTATAATTTAAATTTTAATCATAATATCTTTGTAAGAAAAAAAATTAGTATGATTTATGAAAAACAAGTAGAATAAGCGCCTTTGATTTTTTTTTAAGAGATATTATAGTTTAAAACAATTAAATAAATGAATAATTAGTGTTCTATTCAAATAATATTTGTTCAAGTTTGTAAGTAAATAAGTTTAAATATTTTTTAAAATCTCAAATAAAATTTTGTTTGGGTCATCTTATTTAATTAATTTTGTGATAGAAAAATAATCAATAAAAAATAGTGTGCATTTAGATTATGGATAACAATATTTAAAATTTTTATTTTAAAAAATATATATAATTTTTAAATTGTGATCCACTTTTTTTATATCATGTATCATTAAAATTTTTCTCGAGCCTCAGTATCAATCTCGATCATCTAAGCGTGCATCATCAATGAATACATAGAACCCCTTGAGGTTTTGAAGTGAGCCTCTAGTGTAAGCTATTTGAACTTCAAAAAAAAAAAAAAAAAAAACTCACCTAATGGGGAGGCAAAAAAAGAGAATCATGTCATCTCAAATGACATAAATAATCAAGGGTATTTGTGGCCTAGTATAAAAATCAATGGAATGTAGACTAAGGCTTCATTTGGGACAGCTTCTTTATTGCTTTTCAAAATGGCTTTTTAGTACAAAATTTTATAATTCAAGAAATTTTTATACTAAAAAGTTATTTTAGAAAGCAATAAGAAAGCTAACCCAAATGAAGTATAACTCACATATACATTCTTTATTTGGACTGAAACCCAATGAAATGGACCAAACTATTTCAAAAGGTAGAGAGTGTGCCTAACTGCAAACTCGAAAGATAATAATATACACGACCATTTCAAAGATTTTTCATACCCAATGCATTGCATAAAATGGAGTTAATATTGATAATAATGACAATTTCTCATTAGCACTGGCCCTTATAAGTATTGCACTCAAAGTGAGGAGCTTAATGAACACTCTTGATTGATGGTGATTATTCATATATTGGGATTCATTACATGGGATATTAAGGAAGGCAACACCAAACATGACAAATGGCATTAGCTAGTAACATAAAAAAGTGAGGCTTATGGTCCACGAAAAAAGAATTGCTTAATGATAGTAAACTATCTGACATCAACTTCAATGAGGGGTCAAATGGGATTGTTATAAGGGAAGGCATTAGACATATTGTTTTTTGAATAACCCAATGAGATAACTACTTCGATAAGGGACAAGGGACTTAATATTAGGTATCATCCTGCTATAGCATATACAAAGAGATAAATGACAAGATTTACACTTCATAGACAGAAGATGCCTTCAAATCCACCTAAATAGATTTAAAGCCATGATGATGGGTCTTAGTGGTGAATATGCTAACATGAGACGAGATATACAATATGGTATGACTCAACTAGACTCCACTGTGGTATGTTATATTTATAAATAGGAGATGTGTAGCTAAATGCTAATAGATCTCTCCTCTCTAGTGACGGATATACTAAGATTGTTCATTTAAATGTTCTTTTATAAAAGATGATTAGAGGTGGAGATTTTGTTAGTAAAATCATAATCCAGTTAATTTTAGTCCTAAAAAGTTATCCCTACAAGGATAAAGTATTCATGTTTAGAGAGGAATGATAAGCACAAATATAAATATTAGAAAGTTGTAATTACATCCTTGAAGTAGTAAAGATGAAAGGGACACAAGATGAGGAACATTGCATTCAATTAACTTTGCATACTTGATCTTTTATCCTACTATCACTTATTATCACAAACATACGCAAATAGAAAATATATTATTGCAAGAAATTGTTATCACATTAACCCTTAAGATTATAGATAGTTTACAATGAATAATCTGTAATGCATGAGTATGGGATAGCAACAATTACAAGTATTAGGAAAGATAACATTTAAACAATATAGGGTATATAACTTATCCAAATCATACACGAGTTAATGGCTTGGAGTAGGGGACTCTTATATTTGGAGTTGATGGGTCCACACATTACTGGGTAGTTGGACCTAGTCACCACGACCTGGTGAGGTATGGCTATTTGAACAATAAGAGAAGAGTTGTCAAATTTAAGTCGATGTGTGATAGGTGGTGGGCCCAAAGCTAGTGGCTATAGAGTCAAAGGCTCTAGCATGATTCGAATATACATGAATGTGGAATGGCACTATATTAGAGTTAATTGGAGCATGTGGGAAAATACTACAATAGGTGATGATGAGCATTAAGAGACGGGCACTCATCGATGGATATCATAATAGTAAGATGGTGGGCAATATAATAGTGGGATAATAGATAAGTTATCATCTCAGGCTACAACAAAGCATATCATCCTATAAAGGGCAATACATTTTCTCGATGACAACAAAATGGGCGTCATGCTTCCTAGGATTATGGTACCATCTTACTAAAAATGACAAATTTGGGAAGAAGAAAACTAACAAAATATTTGGGCATGAAGATGTATGCAACGAGTTTGTAGAATACAAGTCGATGAAGTTGTTGACGCATTTGTGTTGCCTCTTATATGATGATATGGATGGAAAAAAAAGTTGACATGTATGGACACGTCGATATGATGGCTCAAGGAAGAATGGGTACCTATTGAGTAATGACTATTTAACCACCTAAAATGAGTGCATTGACCAATTTATAAGGGTTAGGAGAAGCTACGTATAAGTGTAGTGGTTAGTTAAGGGGCTATTGATGCTTATCTAGCTTTCTTGATAACAAAGGCTTATAAAAGGGTCGCTAGGTGGAGGCCTGGTGATTGTAAAATGTGTTGGCTAGAACATGATAGAGGAAAGAGAAGAGTTGTTTAAAAATATTTTTCTTATTAAGCTATGCCATAAGGCAATGACACTTTTGGGGAATTTGGTATAGTAAGCTAAATAAAGATGTTGATAAATGATGGTTGGTGACTCTTGAGCTAGCAAAGTGAGGGCCCATGGTCACTATGTTGGAATCCTCATCTCTACCTATTAAAATTCTAATGGAAAATCATAAGGGAGGTGTTTACCCCACGAGATTCCACTTGTACAAATGTAGTTCATACTCTATAATCATTTAGGACTCAAAAATAAGAAAGCTCTAATTGAATAATATAATAGGATTGAATTTAAATTAAATATGGGTAATTTTATTAAGAGATATAGTGATTAATATAAATTAAAAATAATATCATACTATATGATTTAAATAGTAGTGCATGATTAATCTTATTATAGTATAATTAGAATGGGATCAATTTATGTAAATTAATATAATTTAAAGATAGAAATAATTATGTTGTGTAATATACATGGTACTCTACAATTAGTATGATTATATCAATTTGATCGATAAACTAAATGTATCTTATTTTTAATAATTTAAAAATTGAACTAATCACAGTTTATAATATGCAACGTATTGTTCAACTGATTTCCTCAATTAAAATTTTATTAATGAGCATGATTTATGAGAAAATTAATCTGATTTAGTTTGATTTAATCATATTGTAGAATCTTGATCTTACTATATGCTCAACCATAACTTTTTTGTAGCATATTTAAGCTTTTGTTTTAAGCTATGCACTCAATATATAAGTTAGTATTAAACCCTAAACATAGGAAGAGATGATTTTTGTTAAAAACTCATAGAGAATCACTTATATCCCTAAGAGAGAGAGAGAGAGAGAGAGAGAGAGAGAGAGAGAGTTTCTAGAGTGAGAACATTTCAGAGCGCATAAAGAGGTTATATTTATCTTCTATGCACCTTTCATTCCACATAGTTTGCTAATTTTGTTGATTGAGAGACATTATTCATATTTTGTGGGAAATCTCGAAGCTCAAAATAATAATGATACTTTGTGTGCCTATTTGTCTGGTTGGGACTAGTTAATTTCTCTCTTGGAGTATCACAGGGGCAGGATTTCTCTATTAGTTGTGAAGAAGTGAGGCTTTTTTCCTTGTAGTAGCAAAAGGGGAAAGGAGTGAAAATCTTGAGTGGTGGACTTGGGGAGTGGACGTAAGTTGTTTTTGCTGAATCAAGATATATTAGTTTGTTCATTACTCTTTGCACATTGTTTTTATTGTATCTTTTATATATTTGAAATACTCTGTGATGATATGAATGATGTTGTGATCTAAGCTGTCTTGTGATATAAGACTTTAAAAATGTATTTGAGATATTTGAAAATTTTATTTAATATAAAGAAACTTATCTTGTACAAAGAATTTTGGCAAATAAAAAAAAGAATATATACTTTTTACTTTGCTCTAATTAAAGAACTTCACTTAAAAATCTCTAATTATTTTGAAAAGAAAAGAAGAATATTTTAAAACATATTGATATTCCTTATGATGAATAGACATAAGAAAAATACAAGGTGGTACTATTGAATTCCAAAAATTTTATCTTTTCTTTTTTTGCCCAATAAGTTTATGAGTGTTTCATATAAGATTAGTAATAAAGTTTGTGAAGAAATGTATGTTATTTATGAAGGCACTGATGAAGTCAGATGTCTGATAGTTACATATAAATTTGCTAATGGATGGCTATGAACAATTTTATGTGCAACTTAATGAGATTATTTCAAATATGTGCACTAGTTAAGAAATATTGTTACTCCATTACTTAAAGGAGCAGATGTCTTTTTGAATTATAGCATGCAATGGCTACTATAATTTTTTAATATAAGAATTTATCAACTTATTAGATTGACTTGTTGCTTATTTATCAGGTTAAATATGAGCAAAAGATTAGCAAGATATTTGGATACTCTAGAGAAATAGAAAGAAAAGCAAATAATTCTTATAACTTCAACTAGTGTCGGATAAGAGTGAGATCAATGCATTTAATGAAGATTATATCGTGCTAATTATTG